ATTCCATTACCTATTTGCTGGTTTCAATAGAATGCACAATGGACTCCACAATATTGCCAATTTGGAGAGAAAAGTATGATGAATAGTCGGATATTTATTTCTCGATCTTTTCATTTCTGCAAGTAATACAGATGCTGTAAGATAACTTGAATGATAACTAACCACCTGAAAATTTGTGGCACAAAAAATTTTTATTGCAAAATCAGTTAGATGGTTGATTTCTGTTGGTGAACTATTCGCGATAGAAAAAACGACCCAACTTAAGGCACTATTCAATCACTCATGAGCGGTTCGTTTCGACAGATGCGACTAATAAGCAAAAACAATAAACAAATGTGAACCAATGAAGATAAAGTAGACAGACCGCTTTGACAGCTTTCAAAAACTTAGATAGGTAGGGTACGCTCATTTTCTATCGCGATTTTGAAATTGTGAATTACTTAATGTTTCGTAATAGACACAACTGCCAGTATTGGAGCGATGAAAATCCGCAGTGGATGCGGATGATCGACCACCAACATTGTTGGAGAGTGAACGTGTGGTGCGGCATTGTGGATTCGCAGATCATTGGGCCTCATTTCTTTGAAGAAACGTTGAATGGAGAGCGATATCTGCGATCCTCGCAACGCGACCTTTCTGGGCTTTTCGACGACTTATCATACGATACAAGGTTCCGTATGTGGTTTCAGCAATATGGCGCGCCTTCATATTTTGCTGGAATTGTGCGACATTTCCTTGACGAAAGATATACCCGCAAAAGTGGATTGGTCGTGGGGGACCCGTGCCCTGGCCACCCAGATCACCCGACTTGACTTCTCCAGACTTTTTTCTGTGGGTTTACATCAAGAACATTGTGTTTCGCGAACCTCCAACCACACGCGAGAATATGAAAGATAGAATTTGAGGAGCGTGCATGGCTATAACGCCGGCTATGTTGGAAGCGACAGTGCGGGAGTGAACTTGTGTATTCCAGAAAATGGAGGTCATTCCGAACACTTGATAAAGTAGTCAATCTCACTTAAAACCAGCTACAGTATGACCTGAATGATACCTCAATTGCTGAACCATGCTCATTTTTCTCTTTTCCATGTAGAGGTGTCAAGGTAATTAAGTTCGTTTAGCGTTAATTTGTCATGTGAATATCACCCCAATGGCGTTTGTCTGGAAAAATATCACACCCTTCACTCTTTCCCGTCTTCAGGGAGTTGAGATGTGTGATTAGTAAAATATTGTTTTTCACGATCGCAGCGCCATCTTGTGAAATTAAAAAAAAGTTCCCGAATAGAAGCTTCATAGTTTTCAATGCTCTTCCAGAATCTGAAATAAAAAATAGGAGTTTTCATCAAAGATTTCAATGTAACCTCCATTTCCCACTCCCCTGGGGGTCAGAGGGTGAAACTTGTTCTATAACCAGACGTCCCCCTCCAAACCATACAAATTTTATTAGGCAATTTTTTTGTCAGATGCATACATTTCGAGAAATTTCCAAATAAAGATTGAAATGGGACACCCGGAATAGATATACCAGACCATAACGGAAATAAAATTCAATAGAGGAGTACTCTGAGAATTGATCCTCCTACAGTTTTTCCTTACAGTATTGACAAGTAGAGTGAAATACATCGTCAACTAATCAAACTTTTACGCTAATTGATGAGGAGAATCTACGAATTTCAAAGAAAACGAATTTCTAGCTTTTCTAGAAATCATCTTTTTCATGGGCTGCCACAGACTTTTTACTTAGAAGAACTACTGGGATCAGATGATCTAGGAGTAACAGTTGTGATGCGTGAAATGCATAGCATTCGCTTTCATCACTGTCTGAAATATCTCCATCTGAATGACAATACTACGATACCTGCTAATAACAAGGATGAAAATTTCACAATCAGACCTTCAGTCGAGATGCTGAATGAACGTTTCGATATGCTTAATAATGGTACTTGAAAATCAGCAGTTGATGAGAGTATGATTATTTTTCAAGGGTTGGTCGAGCCTAAGACAATATGATCCCAAGAAAAACATCGAGTGGGGTTAGGAGATGTTGTGTATAGCAAGACCAAAGGAGTGACATCAAGAAACTCGAGATATACCAGGGAAAAGATGCAGTGGCAGAAACAAAATTCGAAGGATTTGAACGGGGTTTCAGAGTTGTTTTGAATTTGACTGAGAGTTACTTGGGATAGAATCGAATAATTTATTCTGGTAACTTTTTCACTTCTGTTCGCTTATTGGAGAACTTGAAAACTAAAAAGACACGAGCTTGTAGAATTGTTCAGGAGGACCAATCAGATTTACCCTCTAATATGGCAGCAGAAAAAACTGTTCAGCAGGGTAATATAGACTATAGAGTGTCGAGTCTTGGTTTGTCATTTTTCAAATGGTGTGAAAACAAAATGGTTTATTTTTTGTCGAATTTCCATGGCATCGAGAGGAGTACTAGCTGTCAAATGTGATTATAACTCCAATATGGAAGGTGCTAAAGGTGATCAAGCTGATCGACTTCGTCAAGCTAATTGCGTTAACAGAACCTTCAAAAAATTGTGGCACCGTTCATTCTTCGGGATATTAGATATTACCCCCATGAAAAGGTACTTGCTGTATAGAAAACTCCACCTAGAAAATAAACCATCTCTGCAAGATTTCAGGAGAGGCATTGCTCTGAGTTTGATGAATCAGAGCAACTATTCTGTTATAAAAAAAAACATGGACCACTTTCCCCATCTAGTTGTAACATCCACTTTTAGTAAATGTTACTTTTTCTATGAAATATTGATAGTACCAAGTATTCAACTGACCTTTCCAGAGTTATTAATTCAACTCTGGTTTTCACTGAATATATTTTGAGAACTTGCATTCCCTTTTGTAGGATATTTTGAGCTCCTCTGTTACATGTTACATTTCATGAAGCTACAAGTCACTGGCATTCATCGGAGATCATCCTGTATATTCTTTGCATAAATTAAAATTAAAGTTCATTATTTCAGTTTGTTTCGAAAATATTCAGGTGAAATGTCGAACAAGTTGTTAATGTTCAAAATTGTAATTATAATTCTTCTTTTTCTTGTTCTTTGTCCCATGTATCATTAACCAGTAGGTCAGCGTTTAGCCCTTCAACAAGCAGGATCGCGACAGTAACATATCAAGGTTGATAAACTTCTCTTTATCCTTCACATAATATTTGAGAAGTAGGCTGTCAGCGTTTTCTTATTGATTTGTATTGATCATTTATTTGTACCTGGTATTGGTTATTGCAACGGTTGAATCGATTCTGGCTATCGGGTTACTATGATTTTTTCACTTTTATGACATGGACATTTGAATTTTCAACTAGAAAAGAGGAAGAAAAATTGAAAATCGTTCCTTTCTGCATCTGGTCACCATTGAATATACTCGTATGTGGATGTCCGCTAAATTACATTTCTGATCATCCACCATTCTTCATCAATAACATCTAATTAGAGGTAAATATCCAATTATCAAGAATATCTTTGATTCATTGAAATAATTTTTCTTATGGAATTTGGTCCATATTCAAGGAAATTAATTGGTAAACTTTCATCATCTCAAGGTTACGTTATTACAACATGTTTTCTAGTTTTCTATGTTTAAGTTCTGCCAGACTTTTACTTTTGCTCTTAGCTTTCACATCTTGCTTGTACTTTCACTTCTACTTTTATCTTCACTTTTTGGATTTGGAAGATTATGCAACTATTTTGCTAATGAATGCTTTTTTATGGACTCAAAAGCGTAGGCATTTGTGAAGATTTTTGATGAAACAATCTTCATGGTGAGATTGACCTGACTATTAGAACCGATTCAGTGTTCCTGCTAACGCTGGAAAGTTATTGATGTAACTATCAAGAAGATATAGAAATTTTCAGCTTGATGTCATAAATTCAACGAGTACTAGGGGCTAGAAGAATTCTAAAACACGGGTTCCAAAAATACTCCCTAGGGTCGCTAGTGTCGCTAGTGTCGCTGTGGCTGCGGTCTGCAACTTGGCGGCGGCAAATTAAAATAATATTGGATGGGAATGTAATGAATAAAAAAAAGTCGGGCTTTGTGTGTGCGGGCGGCGAGGAATCGAACCCCGGCCACCGGACTGCTAGTCCGAAACGCTTCCATAGCGCCACGCCACTAGACGAATTTGTGTACGAGTTTGGAGTTTGGTAAGCGGCGAGATGGCAGGCTGAATGCTGAAGAGAGCGCGGCTGGCGCTAGCATGTCGACATTGCCGGACGTTTGAAAAAATCGGATATTGTGCTCCGTAATCTGCATTTCGTCGTTTTTGGCAATGGCGTAGCGACATATGACGTACGACAGATGACGTTTCGTCGATTCGATATTTTGTCGTTTTGATGATTTGTTGTTCAATGTGCAGAATCGGGAATTGAGGGAAAAAAAAACAAAATCATTAGTAAATATATCAATTTTTTTATTAATTTATCGAGTAACACTATTTTGGTATCAAATTATCGAACCATTTGTATAAAATATCAACGTTGCGAAGGCTGCAATTGAAGGATTCTCGACGAATATGTGATGCATACAGGATGTGATGGTGTTGTTGTTATCGAAAGTTGGAACGATGTACCAGGAATCGTCATATTGCTCCAAATTCACGACTCTTGCATGTACATTGAATGTTGCTAATTTATCGTCCAGGAACTCCTTTTTTTGATGACCTCACACATAGATGATATCGATGTCACTCAGCTTATCCTGAAGGATATCATTGAGTAAATTGTATGCCACAAATCCGTTAGAATACCTCAACCCATGAATGTTCTTTTCCAAGAAATAAGCGCCGGTTCGGTCTTCTTTGCTGAGAGAAGAGAAGGATTTGTATGGAAGTAGTAGATAATTACTACATTGAACTCCAATTTTGACAGCAATCTCCTTGGGGCGGAATTCATGCTCGATAATGAACCCTTGAATGTCTATGAACGCTACTCTCATGATGCTGGCCGAACTCAAACTGAATGACAAACTGAGATTCAATTCCACTTCTTGATAAATTCACTGAGTGGGAGGTGCTCGATGATGTTATCATGGATGATGATGCAATAGGCTCGAGTGTTGGCAGGAAATCCTTGGGATGCTTCAATTTCGAGTTTGACATCGACAGTGGAGCTTTTGACACTTTCGTCTCGTCGCGAACAATCGATAACGAAAAGAGGTTGTTTATTGGCAAACTCGGGGTAGCCTAGGAGCGGAGTGTGTTGGGAGGTGTTTTTATATCTATATCCAAATCGCGTATACTTGAAGTACGCCTGTGGAAAGGCTCCTTTATCGAAGGCCAATTGCATCTTCTCCTTCGGATAACTTTCCCCGTTGAGAGTTAATGTGATATTCGTTATGTTTGCGTGATTGAAAATCGTGGGATCAGTATTAACTTCAGTCAGATCATGATCTGTTTGAAAGCAAACGATGCAATATCTAGGACTTTCGAGAAACGAAGATGTCTTGACGGCCCATATTCCATTGGTGGCGCTTGTCGTGAGAGAAGGCAACATATGCAATTCCCATTTTCTGAACGGGTGTGAAAGCAGCAACGGTTTTTCTGGCAACGGTTTTTCAACTTCATTTATGGTATATGGAGGAAGGACTTTTTCTTTCGCTCAAGATTTTTCTACACAAGTCCACTAACCTGAAGAAGTTGAGAAAGGCTCCTAACAAAAAAATAATTTGTGATTTCTAAACCACCCCATAACCACCCCACATAACAGAAAAATCGTGAGACAGTTGGGAGATACCTTAATCGCGATTTCATTATGTAAATCGATAATTTTACACTAATTGAACACCCTCCATACAATGAAATAATTTGTGAACTAGAAACTACCCCTCAACAACCCTCCGAAATAGAAAATTCATAAATCAGTTGAAATTACAGTTGCGCGATGTTTTTTGATGGAAATAAATTATTCTAGACCTGCTGACTACTCTTTGTAGGGTGAAATATTTTGTGAACCAAAAACTACCCCTCAGCAACCCTCCGAAGTATAAAGATCATAAATCAGTTGAAATTCCCGTTGCATGAGATTTTTTGATGGAAATGGATAATTCTAGACCTGTTGTATACGGTTTATGGGGTGAAATAATTTGTGAATCAAAAACCACCCCTCAGCAGCCCTCCGAAATAGAAAATTCATAAATCTGTTGAAATTACAGTTGCTGAAAGTTTTTTGATGGAAATGAATTATTCTTGACCTGCAGAATACACCCTGTAGGGTGAGATAATTTGTGAATCAGAAACTACCCCTCAACAACCCTCCGAAGTGTAAAAATCATCAATTAGTCGTAATTCTTGTTGCGCTATGTTTTTTGATGGAAACGAATTATTCTTGACCTGCAGAATACATTCTGTAGGGTGAAATATTTTGTGAACCAAAAACTACCCCTCAACGACCCTCCGAAGTGTAAAAATCATCAATTAGTTGAAATTCTTGTTGCAAGAGATTTTTTTGATGGAAATGAATTATTCTAGACCTGCTGACTACTCTTTGTAGGGTGAAATATTTTGTGAACCAAAAACTACCCCTCAGCAACCCTCCGAAGTATAAAGATCATAAATCAGTTGAAATTCCCGTTGCATGAGATTTTTTGATGGAAATGGATAATTCTAGACCTGTTGTATACGGTTTATGAGGTGAAATAATTTGTGAATCAAAAACCACCCCTCAGCAGCCCTCCGAAATAGAAAATTCATAAATCTGTTGAAATTACAGTTGCTGAAAGTTTTTTGATGGAAATGAATTATTCTTGACCTGCAGAATACACCCTGTAGGGTGAAATAATTTGTGAATCAGAAACTACCCCTCAACAACCCTCCGAATTAGAAAATTCATAAATCAGTTGAAATTACAGTTGCGCGATGTTTTTTGATGGAATTGAATTATTCTAGACCTGCTGACTACTCTTTGTAGGGTGAAATATTTTGTGAACCAAAAACTACCCCTCAGCAACCCTCCGAAGTATAAAGATCATAAATCAGTTGAAATTCCCGTTGCATGAGATTTCTTGATGGAAATGGATAATTCTAGACCTGTTGTATACGGTTTATGAGGTGAAATAATTTGTGAATCAAAAACCACCCCTCAGCAGCCCTCCGAAATAGAAAATTCATAAATCTGTTGAAATTACAGTTGCTGAAAGTTTTTTGATGGAAATGAATTATTCTTGACCTGCAGAATACACCCTGTAGGGTGAAATAATTTGTGAATCAGAAACTACCCCTCAACAACCCTCCGAATTAGAAAATTCATAAATCAGTTGAAATTACAGTTGCGCGATGTTTTTTGATGGAAATGAATTATTCTAGACCTGCTGACTACTCTTTGTAGGGTGAAATATTTTGTGAACCAAAAACTACCCCTCAGCAACCCTCCGAAGTATAAAGATCATAAATCAGTTGAAATTCCCGTTGCATGAGATTTTTTGATGGAAATGGATATTTCTAGACCTGTTGTATACGGTTTATGGGGTGAAATAATTTGTGAATCAAAAACCACCCCTCAGCAGCCCTCCGAAATAGAAAATTCAAAAATCTGTTGAAATTACAGTTGCTGAAAGTTTTTTGATGGAAATGAATTATTCTTGACCTGCAGAATACACCCTGTAGGGTGAAATAATTTGTGAATCAGAAACTACCCCTCAACAACCCTCCGAATTAGAAAATTCATAAATCAGGTGAAATTACAGTTGCGCGATGTTTTTTGATGGAAATGAATTATTCTAGACCTGCTGACTACTCTTTGTAGGGTGAAATATTTTGTGAACCAAAAACTACCCCTCAGCAACCCTCCGAAGTATAAAGATCATAAATCAGTTGAAATTCCCGTTGCATGAGATTTTTTTGATGGAAATGGATAATTCTAGACCTGTTGTATACGGTTTATGAGGTGAAATAATTTGTGAATCAAAAACCACCCCTCAGCAGCCCTCCGAAATAGAAAATTCATAAATCTGTTGAAATTACAGTTGCTGAAAGTTTTTTGATGGAAATGAATTATTCTTGACCTGCAGAATACACCCTGTAGGGTGAAATAATTTGTGAATCAGAAACTACCCCTCAACAACCCTCCGAATTAGAAAATTCATAAATCAGTTGAAATTACAGTTGCGCGATGTTTTTTGATGGAAATGAATTATTCTAGACCTGCTGTATACGCTCTATGGGGTGAAATAATTTGTGAACCAGAAACTACCCCACAACAACCCTCTGAAGTAGGAAAATCATGAATAATCTGTTGAAATTACAGTTGCTGAAAGTTTTTTGATGGAAATGAATTATTCTTGACCTGCAGAATACACCCTGTAAGGTGAAATAATTTGTGAACCAAAAACTACCCCTCAACGACCCTCCGAAGTGTAAAAATCATCAATTAGTTGAAATTCTTGTTGCAAGAGATTTTTTGATGGAAATGAATTATTCTAGACCTGCTGTATACGCTGTATGGGGTGAAATAATTTGTGAACCAGAAACTACCCCTCAGCAGCCCTCTGAAATAAATAATTCATAAATCTGTTGAAATTACAGTTGCTGAAAGTTTTTTGATGGAAATGAATTATTCTTGACCTGCAGAATACACCCTGTAAGGTGAAATAATTTGTGAACCAAAAACTACCCCTCAACGACCCTCCGAAGTGTAAAAATCATCAATTAGTTGAAATTCTTGTTGCAAGAGATTTTTTGATGGAAATGAATTATTCTAGACCTGCTGACTACTCTTTGTAGGGTGAAATATTTTGTGAACCAAAAACTACCCCTCAGCAACCCTCCGAAGTATAAAGATCATAAATCAGTTGAAATTCCCGTTGCATGAGATTTTTTGATGGAAATGGATAATTCTAGACCTGTTGTATACGGTTTATGAGGTGAAATAATTTGTGAATCAAAAACCACCCCTCAGCAGCCCTCCGAGATAGAAAATTCATAAATCTGTTGAAATTACAGTTGCTGAAAGTTTTTTGATGGAAATGAATTATTCTTGACCTGCAGAATACACCCTGTAGGGTGAAATAATTTGTGAATCAGAAACTACCCCTCAACAACCCTCCGAATTAGAAAATTCATAAATCAGTTGAAATTACAGTTGCGCGATGTTTTTTGATGGAAATGAATTATTCTAGACCTGCTGTATACGCTCTATGGGGTGAAATAATTTGTGAACCAGAAACTACCCCACAACAACCCTCTGAAGTAGGAAAATCATGAATAATCTGTTGAAATTACAGTTGCTGAAAGTTTTTTGATGGAAATGAATTATTCTTGACCTGCAGAATACACCCTGTAAGGTGAAATAATTTGTGAACCAAAAACTACCCCTCAACGACCCTCCGAAGTGTAAAAATCATCAATTAGTTGAAATTCTTGTTGCAAGAGATTTTTTGATGGAAATGAATTATTCTAGACCTGCTGTATACGCTGTATGGGGTGAAATAATTTGTGAACCAGAAACTACCCCTCAGCAGCCCTCTGAAATAAATAATTCATAAATCTGTTGAAATTACAGTTGCTGAAAGTTTTTTGATGGAAATGAATTATTCTTGACCTGCAGAATACACCCTGTAAGGTGAAATAATTTGTGAACCAAAAACTACCCCTCAACGACCCTCCGAAGTGTAAAAATCATCAATTAGTTGAAATTCTTGTTGCAAGAGATTTTTTGATGGAAATGAATTATTCTAGACCTGCTGACTACTCTTTGTAGGGTGAAATATTTTGTGAACCAAAAACTACCCCTCAGCAACCCTCCGAAGTATAAAGATCATAAATCAGTTGAAATTCCCGTTGCATGAGATTTTTTGATGGAAATGGATAATTCTAGACCTGTTGTATACGGTTTATGAGGTGAAATAATTTGTGAATCAAAAACCACCCCTCAGCAGCCCTCCGAGATAGAAAATTCATAAATCTGTTGAAATTACAGTTGCTGAAAGTTTTTTGATGGAAATGAATTATTCTTGACCTGCAGAATACACCCTGTAGGGTGAAATAATTTGTGAACCAAAAACTACCCCTCAACAACCCTCCGAAGTGTAAAAAGCTTAAATTAGTTGAAATTCTTGTTGCAGGAGATTTTTCTATGGAAATGAATTATTCTAGACCTGCTTTGAACGCTTCATATAGTGAAATAATTTGTGAATCAAAAACTACCCCACAACAGCCCTCCGAAGTAGAAAATTCATTAATCTGTTGAAATTACAGTTGCTGAAAGTTTTTTGATGGGAATGAATTATTCTTGACCTGCAGAATACACTCTGTAGGGTGAAATATTTTGTGAACCAAAAACTACCCCTCAACAACCCTCCGAAAGGTAAAAAGCATAAATTAGTTGAAATTCTTGTTGCAAGAGATTATTTGATGGAAATGAATTATTCTAGACCTGCTGTATACGCTTTATGGGGTGAAATAGTTTGTGAATCAAAAACTACCCCTCAACAACCCTTCGAAGTTGAAAATTCATAAATTCGTTGAAATTACGGTTGCTGAAAGTTTTTTGATGGAAACGAATCATTCTTGACCTGCAGAATACATTCTATAGGGTGAAATATTTTGTGAACCAAAAACTACCCCTCAACAACCCTTCGAAGTTGAAAATTCATAAATCAGTTGGCATTCCCCTTGCACATAATTTTTTGATGGAAATGAATTATTCTAGAACTGGTGAAAGCTCTATGGGGTGAAATATTATGTGAACCACAAAAATTACCACTCTTTCGAATGTTAAAAATATTAATACATTCGATTCAACATAGGTCCATTCAATAATTGGAAAAATTATTTCGCACAAAATAATTTATTGGCAAAACAAAGAAATCATATTCGAATTAACAGTTTCATACAAAAACAATGTTATAGTTTCTATAATAATACAAAATCTGCAAAACAATCCACTTCAAACAGAGTGGTAAACTGAAACTTTGAAATTAAAATAATTCTTCTTGATACATACCTAATTAATTTGTTTTGTTGCTACTAGTCTAATAGTGAAATATATTACTATCAATGTGTATCACATTTTAAAAAAATCACAGTTTTATAAAATATAAACTCGAAAATTAAAATATATTCAAAAATAAATAAAACTCAAAAACAACTATAGATTCCATAATATAACAAAACTTCAGAACAAATTGTTAAAACAACGCTTACAAAATAATGAAATAAAAAATCCTACTCAAATAATACATCAATAGGTACATCAGTCTCGTTACAAAATATCACAGCAACAATTAAAATCAGGTATTCACATTTGGAGGTACCTACCTATAGTCGTCGACTTTTGTAAAATTTCAATTACTTAAATCAAGTAGTCGGACTTGTGGGTAGCAGAAGTTGATAACTTTAATTCAGGGAACTGACATGGCATATAATGCGAAAATATTGGGAACTAAATTGAAATATCCTCGAAAAAATATATCTAGGTGAACATGTGAATAAAAACAGTTTTTGAATCAATTTGTTGCATAATTAAAAATGTTTATGCAAAGAAGTAATACAGGTGGGATGAGACCCTATTGCAGTTACTGAAATTGATGATATATTGCAGGTACTTTTTTCGGATCTCCTATGTACACTGGTCTTAGAAAAATAAAGATTTCCTTTCGTCAGAAATATATATGTATTTATTCTATTCTTCTCAGCTCATTTCATAAAAGTTTTTTTCTCAATTTACATAATATCTATCAATATTCATTAACATCTTGAAAAATAATGTTCACATAGTTGGCAAATATGTTCCAAGGTGGTACATTCAATGTGAAAATTTCTCAAACAAGTTCTACACTGATGACTAGAAGATTTTGCTTCGTCTCCACATATGAGACAAAAACTATTTTGACAAATATCTGTACCCTTCAATAAAATTTGTCTGAGATCATTTCTATAAATATCCATATTTGCTGGCCTGAGAAGATTTATTTTGTTTATTATGGCCCACGTGAAGTATATTATGTATACTCCACAGTTATATCCATCCCTCTGTTTGATATGGGATCTTTCTACAATATTTAATTCCGAGTTGAAACCGGTGTTTTTGAACTTATTATATATACCTATGAACTTTTCGAATGTTTCCCGGAATTCAAGCGCATTCAACTTCGATTTTCCTCTCGGGTCAATAAAAGTGAATGTACTCTGTTGAAAATTGACAAAAGCTATAACCCAATGATTACGACTGGCCACAGTTCCAATAATAATTGGAAGGATCACTATTGAGCTTTCAGATATATCTGGAAAGTCATCGAAAAATTCCTTGACAATATGTTCACAGTGATAAAATATTGCGTAAGTTTGATCAGTATTCAGTAGCTTGTAATCCCCTTCGGTGGTGTGTTCGCGAATGTGTTCGTTCAATATTGCTCTTAGACAATAGTTGAGAGCGAAATCTGTCAACCACTGTTTATCGAACAAAGTTTTAAAATCTTCGAATTTTAATTCGTTAGAGATGCCCAAATGAAACTTAGCCACTACATAGTTTCCATATCCTTTACATTCTTTATAATAATTCAAATTACACACAAGGCCATTTTCATGAAAACAAATAGTTTTTTTTGCTGTTTCGATTTTGAATGGAGAAGAAACCTCCTCATTTGGGGACAGTGATACTGGATCCTGAATGGAAATAATTTTCTGTGTGCTGTTCGCTTTGTCCACAGAAAATATGAAACCTTCATCATCCGTTAATTCATCTTCCACTTGTTTTTTCAAGCTCAGAGATATGGTTTTGTTCGAATCTTGTCCTAATCGTGTTTCCTCCTCATTTTCTGTCCGACTTCTAGCAGAGCCAGAAAGTCCAATGCCAGATTTGGTGATATCGTCCGTCACCTTGGAAGTACCGCATTTCTTTGCACCCTTCAATTCATTTACCTCATCTTGTTTTTTGAATTTCGCAGGAATGAATTTTGATTCAATTTTTTTTAGAGCCCGTTTCAATATTGTGCCTTTAAAATTATTATTTTTCAAGGGTAATTGTTTTTTCCATTGTTCTTCTGCTGATAAATCTTTAAGGGAGCACTTATTAGTTGGAACAATATCAAATTTTCTTACATTTTTGTTATGTACTCTGGAAGTACAGCCCCTCTTATCGATATCACTTCTCCTTTTACTGCGCCTTGAAGTGCAACCTCTTTTAGGAATATTCAACGTTATTTCCTTATGAACAGCCAAAATTTTTCTCCGAATTAATCGGATCACCCTGCTGGTTTTCTGATTCTCTAGTTCTTCTAGAATCAGATGTTTGACTACAGAGAACCAGTTTTCCACAGGAGCATTACTCTGTCTCTTACCAGATATAAGACTCGTCCATAAGGGTAGAAACGGTACATATTTCCTCAAAACTTTTAGTAGGTATTTCTCATTAAAAAATTTGTTATTTTTTCCAGATCGCTCTTGATTCTTTATTTTACGTTTTATGGTGTTATATTTCATTTTGAATAATCTATAAAACGGGCTCACCTTATATAGGGGATCTCTTGGTTTGGGTGCTTCTGGGGGCTCGATATATTTGAATTCATTTTCAAAAAATTCTACGTCATTACAGCAAATGCCGAGAAGATCCTTCATCGCCATTCGGACATCTGAATTATAATTTTGGGAGCACAATATCATGACAAGATTCTCAAACCATTCCACCAAAGAAGATAATTTCGTTAAATTGAATGATGCTGCCATTATTTCCATGATTTGCCTTCTTACAGATTCGTCGAATGCTTCTTTTTTTAAATCATTCACGATATTTTTAAAAAAGTGAGAACAGCATATGAATACCGAAGTGATATGTTGGAAATTTCTCGGAGCGCTGTTTGTTTCTGCAGAGACTATTGAGAATGTGAATTCCAAATATTCTTCTAAATACATTTTATTAAGAAAATACATCACAGCATTTATTAAAGCATAACTAAAATCAGTCACAACTCCGGAGAAAATGGGCCATTTCCGGATGTATGTTTCTGAAAAAACTTTGAATTTGGAAAGCCACACTCCAATAGACACGGCATCGTGTCGACAGCTGATTAATTCAGTGATTGGGACAATCCTTTCATTGAATCCGGTATGAATGACTCCAGCATAATAAAAAACCCTTTTGTCAACAAATGGTGGTTTCCTTACCACGTTGCCAGTTGCATCCAAATGTAGTGTGGGTCGGATACCGTCCTTACTACATCTCGAAACAATTTCTAATTGTTGTTTACTAAACATATAAACATGAAAGGGTTGTCCCACTTCCTTAATATAAGCTGTATTAATTCGTTGCATCAATATTAAATCAATAAGGTCATCTTTATCCCTGTCGTTTCTTCCTAACTGTTCAGATCTCACTTTACGGATGACAGCGTCTGATTTAACATTCTGCAAATTCCCCTCAGAAAGAATTTTTGGGGCTGATTCAAGAACTGTCGTTGTTCTGTATTTGGAAGGTTTGGCATTTTTTAACTTTCTCATAACAATTTTTCTTTCAGTACCTTTCAAATATCTTGTAACTGTTGTTAAATGGTTGTAATTTAATGACGAACTGAGGACAGTTACCTGATGATCGCATTTTGAATGTATTTTCTCTATCGTATAAATGAATTTTTTACAATTATGTGTGCAATATGCGTAAATTTTATAAATATCTTTCGATTTCAAGTACTTTTTAGATTTGAAATTAATAACGCAAACATTATTGACCTCAAGGAATGTTTTTTTTGTTAACAAAAATATATAACTATTGATGAGTTGTCCGTCACGTAATATGTCATCCATTTCAACTGATTTGATGATAAAAGAACCCTCCAAGTTTTTGCAGTCCCTATACGATGGCGTTGGCCAATTGTCTGTTTTCATATTTCTCGACTTCTCAGGTAATATATGATCTTTTTTTGAATCTGTTTGGCTCAAGCATATTAAAGAATTTGGAATAAATTCGTTGGAAGTTGAAATGTGTTCAATTGATGTCCTGGAAGAAATATGTTCAGCATCAGCACAAGATCCAACATTAGAAACAGCATGTTGTGATTTTAAGAAGTCAAGTGCATTGCAGTTGAACTCTGAATTATGATGAATAGGTGATAGTTTTGGTGAACTTTCCACAGGATCTGCAGCGCAGAATGTACTTTCGTTATTCAAAAAACTGTGGGAAGGTCTGGTTTGGTTTATAGAATCTCTTGTTAGACGTATCAACAATTTTGGGGTGGAAGCTACTTTGTTTGGATAACAGTTATTGGCACTTCTAATCAAAATATTTTGCGAAATTAGGATAGGAGGTTTTTGAAGATATGACGAGAAAGATCTTGTATTTCTTCTGATGAATGTGATGATCGCTTTGCAGTTTCGCTGGTCTCTATCGCCGAACAAAAAATGAGAAGAATTTTGTATTATTTCACTTGAAGGGGTTAATTGTATTAAATCTTCGTAAGAATAATTTGGATAATTAGCCCTGAAAAATAAGCCTAGAGTCTTCTCATCAACTCGGGAAGGTCTACCAGGTTTCATTTTTGAATTTATTGAAGAAACAAGATGTGCCGAAGTAGTGCAAACGATAGGTAGGTACCTCCAATAGAACGTATATAGGTACTTTAATTATTCATAATATATGAATGAACTATCTATAAATAGCAATACCCATACCTATGAACATCAAGGGAAAATAGAATATGAAGAAATGAACTGTAATTCCAGATTCTTGAGGAAGATTCTTGGGGAGATTCGATTCTTGAGAAGATTCTTGTGGAACTTGTAGAAATTTCCTGATGTCTAAGACGTGCCCGAACTTAATTTCTGTTGAAAACTAAAAAAATATGTAATAAGTATTTTATATTCACGTAATTGATGATGGAACAGGCCTATTTTGATCGATAGACTCAAAAGAAAAGAAATATTGTATATCAGATATACGATAACTAGTTACCATAAGCGCTGAATATGATATAATAGAAAATATCGGGGAGTTCAGTCTATCGGGCTACAAGTAACCTACTTTATTGCTATGCCAAGCTTCCGAAAATTTTTATTTTCTTCTTCAAGGTTTCAATTCGAGTTGAACTGTATAGATTGGAAAAATATTGGGAATAAAGAATATAGATATAATGTAGACACTATCACTGCCCTATCAATTTTTTATGTCTACATTATCTATATTTTTTGTTCCCAATATTATTCCAATTTATACATTTTAACTCGAATTGCAACCTTGAAGAAGATAAAATCTTTCGAAAACTTGGCATAGCAATAAAGTAATAGCCCAATAGCCAAAACAGACTGAACTTCCCGATATTTTCTATTATATCATATATTATACAATACAGTCGATAAACTATTCAAATAAGCGCTAAAATTATGTTCAATAGAATCGGACCATAATCACAAGAATCTTCTGCTACCTTGGAGTCGCCCTCGCCATCTTGAATCTGAATAATTTTGATGATAAAATCAGAATATTAGACCCTGAAATCCTCCGTATACTATATTTGAATGGAATCATATATTCACAAACTCGCCCGCCATCTTGGAGCCGCCTTATTGAATTTTTTGAGATTTTTTTTTACAAAAAAACATAATTTTCTACCATCCAAAAACCACCACATACCAATTTTTAATGGTATCGGACCATAATCACAAAAATTGTCTGTTTGATAACTGTCATTTTTTATTCTGATCATCAATTTTCTTCAATAAACACGTTGAGTAACAAAAACACATTCATAATAGTACATTATACACCTAGGGACTGAAGTAGAATTTTAAATCCCAAGACAAAAAGTTTATAGCCCGACCAACAGGAGGGCTATAATTTGTCGAGGGAATCAAAGACACTTTAGTCCTGAGGTGTATACACTATTTTATGCACTTTAGGATCGGTTGAATGTTAAGAATAACGAAAAAAAAAAAAGCCACTGAACGAACTATTTCTTAAACGTCATCGTGTAAAAAAGTGGTACTTTAAATCCCTTGGGATTCAAAATGTACTATATATCCGTAGGGAATCAAAGTACCTTTTTTCCCCAGAAAATAGGGATTCAAAGTCCCCTTTAAATCCCTGAAGTGCATAAAGAAATAATCGACATTGGAAGAATCGAATTGATTGCTATATTTATATTTAGTTTAAGCAAATTTAATCCATGATCTTCTTATGAGGCATTTTCCATTGTTGAATTTAACAGCAAACGAAAATTCCCCGGAAAATTCCAATTGAAAAATTTAATGATTCTTAATATTTTTTAACACTCACCTCAACAACACGCCAAATCAGTTGCCGCCGATTGAATCATCAGTCTCGAGTTTGCTTGGGCCGGTTTGAGTATTCAGTAACAGCTTACAGCCAGCCGCCAGCTTCCAATCTGCAGTGTATATACAATCATCCAGAAAGCAATACTGTCAATATCCAATACCTATTAAATTATAGTTGTCATATACTAGATTCAAGAAGCTAGCAGAGCCCCTCACGAATTTCAACATGACACAAATCTCATAATTTTGAGTTCATTTTAGGCTAATTTATAGCTTTATTCCCATACTCCTTTGCTAGCTTCGGACGAACTCAGCAGAGCTATTTTTGGAAACATGGATTTTTCACTGTATATTCATGTATTGAGTTTGAATGGCTTATTTTAGGCTAATTAATTACCCTATTTTCAAATTCTTTGATCTACCATTTTAGAAAAAAATATGAATCAACTTGTCGCAGTTCACGATATTTACTAATTACCTATTATGCTTCTCAATTATTGAGATCATATTTTTTACATGCTTTTGATAGAAATGCATTGTCTAGTCAATAACGTGTATTTCGACAAATCGTTTCGATTTTTCCGAGGGTTTTTATAACGTTGATCAAAATAATCAAAAATAGGGTAATTAATTAGCATAAAATTATTCTTCAAATACCGATATAACAAATCAATGAAAAATATATTCTTTTCAAAAATGGCTCTGATGCTGAGTTCGCCCGAAAGAAGCGAAGCCACAGGTTTCTTTTGAAAAATATACAGCAAAAAATTCAAAAATGGAATAGTTAATGAGCCTACAAATTAATACTATCGCTTCATGTCATAAAATCGTTATAAAACATGCCTTTGATAGAAATGCGTGATGTCTAGTGAATAACGCGTATTTCAACAAATAATCTCGTTTTATTTTTTGAAAGTTAAGCATGAATTTCTAAAATAGGGTAATTATTTAGCCATTTAATCCAATTTAATTCCAGCATTTCAATCCGTTGAATATAGTATATTGTGTATCTAGTGCGTGAAGTCTTCACGGACGTGGTGCACACTATATACTTTTTCTACGACTTTTTACTTAGAGATTGAATTAAAGGAAAATTTGACTTATTTTCTTTATTATAATAATAATTATTATGAACAGTTATATTGCAATTTTGTAAATTGTCAAAATGTACATTCACTTTGTCTTTCTCTACAAAATTAGTGCTGCTTGTACTGTTGGTGTTGACAACATAACTACGATTATTCTCAGTTGTTAAGATTTCACACACCGATGCGTGAAATGAAGCTTCACACATTTTTATCGATGTGTGAAGTTAGTAATTCACATGCGGGAGTAGAAAAACTATGTTTTCAAAAACTGCT